TGGCTCACACCTGTAATCCCAGCACTTTGGGAGGCCGAGGTGGGCGGATTACTAGGTCAGGAGATCGAGACCATCCTGGCTAACATGGTGAAACCCCGTCTCTACTAAAAATACAAAAAATTAGCTGGGCGTGGTGACAGGCCCCCGTAGTCCCAGCTACTCGGGAGGCTGAGGCAGGAGAATGGCGTGAACTCGGGAGGCGGAGCTTCCAGTGAGCCGAGATCGTGCCACTGCACTCCAGCCTGGGCGACAGAGCGAGACTCCTTCTCAAAAAAAAAAAGTTCACAAATTTGTGTTGGGCCGCATTCAAAGCTGTCCTGGGCCGCAGGCATCCTGGGCAAGCTTGTTCTGAGTTCTTGCCCAAGGAAATGGAAATCATTTGAAGAGAGCCTGTCAGAGCAGCAACTTTAGATTGTCTGTTTTGCTTGAGACTGAGTGAAATAGGATACTTGATCAGATTAGAGACCCATAATGGCAAGGATAACATGAAGAGGTCACTGAACGCCAGGTATATGTATTGATCTCTTAAAACCTGGCTGGTGCTGGTGGCTCACGTCTGTAATCCCAGCACTTAGGGAGGCTCATTTGAGGCCAAGATTTGGAGGCTGCAGTGAGCTATTATGGCGACACTGCACTGCCGCCTGGGTGACAGGAGAGACCCCATCTCAACAACAGCAACAAAAGTAGCCAGACGTGGTGGTGCATACCTATAGTCCCAGCTACTAGAGAGGCTGAGGTGGCAGGATCCCTTGAGCCCAGGAGTCAGAAGCTGTAGTGAGCTATAATGGCGTCACTGTATTCCAGCCTGGGGAACAGAGTGAAACCCTAGTTCTTAAAAAAAAAAAAAAAAAAAGGCAAAGCAAAACAAACTTTTTATTGTGGAGAATTTCCAATGTGCTAAAGTAGATAGAATAGTATGATGAACTCCCATTTGCCTGTCACCCTCAATAACCATCAACACATGGCTAATTCTGCCTCATCCCCACATACATCAATTTCTTGTTCTTATTTTTTATTATTTTTAAAATTAGAAATGAGTCCTCTTATATTTTTATTCTTACTCCATGCCACATTTTCCACCATTCTTCTGGCTTTCTCAATCTTCTCACATTCCATCTCTTTTGACCTTTCCCTGTATTCCTTGCCTTTTTATTTATTATTATTATTATTATTATTATTATTTTTTGAGATGGAGTTTTGCTCTTGTCACCCAGGCTGGAGTGCAATGGCGCGATCTCTGCTCACAGCAACCTCCGCCTCCCGGGTTCAAGCAATTCTCCTGCCTCAACCTCCCAAGTAGCTGGGATTATAGGCATGCGCCATCACGGCCGGCTAATTTTTGTATTTTTAGTAGAGACAGGGTTTTGCCATGTTGATCAGGCTAGTCTCGATCTCCTAACCTCAGGTGATCCACTTGCCTTAACCTCCCAAAGTGCCGGGATTACAGGCGTGGGCCACTGCTCCTGGCTGTTTATTATTTTTGTTTATTTTTTTAAAGACCTGTCAGCAGGAAATAACTCCTTGCCTTTTAAGAACAACTTTATTGAGGTATAATTTACATACCATAAGATCACCCATTTTAACTGTATAATGCAATGATTGTTAGAAAGTTTACTGAGTTGTGCAGCTATGACCACATTCTAGCCACAGAACGTTTCTGTCACCCCATAAGATCCCTTATGTTGGTTTAGAATCAATTCCCATTCCCACCACTAGTCCCAGGAAGCCACTAATCTACTTTCTGTCTCTATAAACCTGCCCTTTCTAGATGTTTCATGTAAGTGGAATCACAGGATAGGTAGGCTTTTTTTTTTTTTTTTT